GTTTCAGAGAACTATAATCCACTGGCAGTCCACGGAGTATGCAAAGGATGACTTCTTGGTCCGAGATATGCTCATGAGCCAGAGTAAGGGAGGAAACAATATTCAAGACATTGTCAAGATAGGTTTGCATGGAATCACTCCCTTTTTGAAGACTATGGAGACGTTCTTTCAACTGAAAAATATGGGTGCGAGATAAAGAATTATACCGTTGCTCAAGGTGAGTCCATATAGCTGCAGACGTGGGAAGAGAATGGATGTGCGTTTGAACACTGGGGGAGACGATGGCCAATAAACATGCACGGATCTGGGCATCGACAATCAGCCACGTCTCATAGGCTGGATTTGCCTTCATGACGGGTGGATCTTCCTTGCCGAAGGTAGCAGCTTTTTCGTCAAGGAGAAGAGAGGGAGGTGCCGGTTCCGTTCCATCCACGTAACCGAGAAGACGATGAGCCATAAGATTAGCGCGAATAGTTGCTGACCAAGAGGAATAGTTTGAATCATCAAGTTTCGCCGGAGTAAGAGATTGGAGATTCCGTACGAATAGCTTGAGGCCAGTGGGGAGGTGATCCATCGGATCAACTGTTGTGGGAGCCATGGTGACTGCCGAAGAAGATGTTGGGGCTGAAGAAGGAGCTGCGGCTGAGAGACAGGAAGGTGCTGCCGCCGAAGATAGTGCTGCGGCTGAGAGGAAGGTACTGCCGAACAAAAAAGTGTTGCGGCTGAGAAACCCTATGCGTGAAGAATTTTTTTTTCTGCTTGCGTTAACCCATGAGACAGAGAGGTGGATCGTGATGCTCCGATACCATGTTGAATTAATATGAATTAATGGATTTTACTTAAGCAATAGAGGTGAATACATGTGAGTATATATAGCTAGAGATCCTAACACAATTAGGATTAGGATTCTTCTAATATGGTAACTAACTATAATACAATTCTACTATAACTAGGAATATTACTATAGTGTCTAACACAAAGAGGTCCAGAGAATAGGGGACTCCAGTGATCTGGCACTTTATCAAAAAACAAGAGAAACACTACTACGAGTGCAGGGTAAGCTGACGTGGGTGAAGACAGTAAAAGTTAGTGTATTAGACAATCAGCTCATGAAGCGGAAATCAGAGACAATATCGCATTGAAGCCAAATAATGGATCCCAACCTCGACGTCAGGACAGGTCACAGAGAAGACATGATTCGATACATGCAGCCGATGCACCACATAACCCTCCCCCACCAACCTCTGGGCCTCGTTGAAGTCAACGTCTAGAAGTTAGCAGCCCGTATTGGTAATCAGGGCGGTCTCTACGGTCGTAACGGGCAAGGGTTCGGGACCACATTTATTTTTGGGTTTCAGTCAACGTGAAGCTTTGGCTTTGCGAGGGGGCACCCCCGATGATAAAGCCATGGAGACCTTCGTGTTTAGGGGCACCGCGGTCATGGTTGGAAGACAACTGGACCCCCCTATCGTCAAGACGGAGAAGCGGGTCCAACATGTATATCTCCGCAAAGCTCTCCGTCGTCGGATCATTGACAGGCACATCGGTAAGGGAAGACATGGACAGAAGAAGGGAGACAATGAATTGACCTTTTCTTTGTCGGGAGTGACGAAATTGAATCGGCTTGGACAACAAGAAATAACCAAAACAAAGTCGCAGCAAAACGACGAAGAACGGAAGAAATTGGGAATTTTGTCTTATATAGTGAAGGGGATCCGACTCGACCCGGAATCCAGACCACATTAAGTGGGTGACATGGCAAGATCCGGACTGTTCCGAAACGAAACGACGCGGACAGATACCGAGAAACAGCATAACAGGTTGGAGGGGAAGGGCGGTACACATCCCAAAGTAATAATCACAATTTGAAATTCAAAATCGACACGCATAAAAAATTCCGCGTGTTAACACTCCTCAGACCTTCGTGCACACTCAGGCTGAGCAGTGGGAGACTCCTGCATTCGGCCAAGAATTTTTCAAAACTTCTACTTCAGAAAATTTTGTACTTCCATACAGCTTAGATGCACTCGGCCTAAAAAGTGGGGGACTCATGAGGGATATCCCGTAATGAGGGTATCTGGCCCAATAAAAAATGAGCGGCCTAACAAGGCCCAACACATTGAACGATTTGTACGTGCTCGGCTAAGGATCCCCGCTCGACTAAGCGGAACTTAAGAAGAAACCAAGGTATGAAGGTGACAACTGCATTTGGACACCTATCCTTGCTCAGCCCAGAAACACCTACTCGAGCTTGGGGGCGACCCACGTCCATGGGCGACCTCCAACAGCTCAGCCTGCGTGCTCGGCCTCTAGATACGCGTCAGAGCCCATTAGGGCATGGTTGCTTGCATGCCTTGTCTAATCAACGATCCCACGATTGGACACCCTGATACACCTTCTTGCCAGATTAGTTGTAGCCGCCCTATTATCACCTATCATTTATAGCCACCCTAGCTTGTAATCATATTGTTGGCGCCGTCGGTCGAACGACTGGATCTCGATAGGCCCGGTTTGTTGGGCCATAGACTAATGGTCGGAAGGCTTAATTGTATTTACTATCAAGTTAACATACTTTAACATACCTTTCTCGACTCTTGCAACTTAACACACTAAATAGTCATTCGATACTCTTTCACCTAGTCTCCTAGGTCCCGAGTTCTAAAATCCAATAGCCGCTGTGTTTGATTGTGGTAAGCTTATTTCAATACTAAGTCCCACTTGATCATAAAAGATGCAAAAAACAAAAGAAAAAAAGGTTCTCCTAAAAATTTTAATTGTTTGAAGAACGCGATCATCTTTTGTTTTGAAACATTGTAATTCAAATATAATCGGAGAAAGGAATTGTAACCCAAGAAAGTTCACAAGTAAAATGTCGTGAATTGTATCACAATTAAGGCATAGCATATGTGAAAATATTATCCCAAATTCAAAAAAAAAATTCATAAAAAATATATTTGTGCAATTAAATCTAGTTGAAATATGAAGAAGGAGATGAATTTGACTTAGCATGGATGGCGGAATGGGCATCGTAGGATGAAGGCACGAGGAGGGAGGGAAAGAGAGGTGGAGGCCAGATGATAGGTGATAAGTCTGTTTTGTACGCACTTACTTTCTCTATATTTAATGTGTTATTGTCCAAATTTAGATTAAACAAATCGATTTTTCAATGGTTCTTATAAGTTTTTATTCATAATTGTAAAAGTTTACAAAAGTTATGTTAGTGTTTTAAAAAGAATAAGAATTGGGTCAAAAGTGGTACAAAAGTGTAAAAAATTGTGCAAATGGAATGCAACGGAGCAAAGAGACAAAAGATGGTGAAAATCCATGAAGTGAAAATGTATATTCAAATGTGGTGATGCGTCCCGTCAAAAGATTTGAGGTCAAACGAATTGAAAAAGCAGCAAAAAGAAATTGTTTGGAAAGAAAAAGTTAAAAGAAGTTGTTTTGATTGACCCAAATTGGTTCGGAATTTGAAGTCGGCGCAGAAGAAAAATTAAAATTGTTCAGAATAAAATTTTGTGCAAGACTGTATTTTAAGAAAAAATTTTCAGACCGGGTCAAAATCCGGCCAACCAGGCACTGCCACGTGGCGCGACCTGGCTGGCCAGGCAAATGTGGCATCACTGCAGCAGCCAGCAAGTGGTGGCCTCCATTATCAGCCGTCATCACCATCATCGATTAATAAATTAAAAAGGAAAATGCTAGGGGTACACAAGTCCCCCACCCCCTCCTTGTCCACAAAAATAGGCAAGAAAATTCAAAAAAATAAGTAAATAAAAATTAAATAAAAATGAGTGGTTATGGAGGAGGTGGAGGTGATTTGGAAGAGTGGAGTGACGCATGAAGAAACAAGAGAAATATACTCCCTAATCCTTTGATTTGCAAAACCAGCACATCAATCGGCTACTCAAAATATCCTCCTCTCCAGGTCTTTAATTCCAATTATTGATTAAATATGTGACAACAGTAGTTAGGCCAGATGATGCCTTGGCCCGAAGTCTATTCCTATACCCGCATTATTTATTTTCTTTTTCTCAAAAGCACCCAGTAGTTTAGTTTATTTTTTTATTATCAAATCAAATTGAGAAGACTTCTAGACTCGTCCAAACCTTCGTCTAGTTATAAAAATTAGCTAATTCCCTTCGTCCACTTCTCGAGAGACATGACACTCGGAGAAAACTAACCCTTCATTGGGAAGGTTGATTTAACGAAAAACTCAATCATCAGTAGGGTTGGCGCAAATCTGTGTGAATGTTGAAAGGATTTTGAAGATTGGTGTTTAGAAAAGAGAAGGAAGAGATGCAGGGTGAGGCGGAGAAGATCGAACACTGAGAATGAAGATACGGAAACCGTAAATAGGGTGAGGCGGAGAAGATCAAACGCTGAGAATGAAGATACGGAAACCGCAAATAGAGTGTGGCGCAAAAGATTAAACCGCATATGTCTTTCGCCATGGAATTCGGACAGTGGCCTTCGTAATTAACCGCTAAATTTTACGAATTGTAATAAATTGGACCATTGAATTGGAACGAAAATTGGATGGAAGGTTATCAAATTTCGATTGTACTTTTATATACTTCGTATATAATAGATCGGTGGGGTTCTAGTGGCACCAGAGTACGGTGACACTTCGGTTCCACTGTCATTTTGGGCCACTTCTGCTGCTATGTTCGTAATAGCCACACATTTTGTGAGGGGTTTACGACGGGGTTGGGGTGGGGGTGCATGGGCGGGGGTTGGGTGGAGGGATGGGGTTAGGGGGTGAGTTAGGGCGGTAGGAACCATCAATTTTACGAATGGAGCACTGGAAGTGCCCCAAAATGACAGCGATACTGCTAGTCATTAGAACCCCATTGATAATAGATAGATTATTAGAACCCCAAAATGACAGTGTCACCAAACGTGGGTGTCACTAAAACGCCACCGATAATAGATGGATAGATAGATGGGTAAATTTCAGCAATGATACCTGAACTTTCTCGTAAATTTAGATTTGGTACCTAAACCTCAACTTACATAATTAGTCTTTATTTAGTGTTCAGTGTAGAAATAAAAACAATCTTGAGCAAAATATACATGATGACTTAATTATCAACTCTCTGCTGTGAGGGGGAAACCAATGCCATGGCGCTTGGTAGGAAACACAACAAAAAGCATACTGCAAAACACCCCGATTCCGACCGGCACGGCCGTGAGAACCTCCTTGGCTTCCACGGACGGCGTCGGGTAGAAACAGTTGACCACATTTTGGTCAAACAACGCCACCGCCGCGAAAACCAACACCGACATGACGGCGTGCATGAAATCGATGAACTTCACCCTAAACTTCTCCGCAAGTTCCGGCGGAAGCGCCGACGACCCGTCGATCACCCATAGTCCGCGCGGCGTCGCCAGCCCGTAGCAGACGTTCCCGTGCTGGTCCTTGAAGCTGTCGGTGAAGCTGAGGACGAAGCACGAGAGGCCGCACACTGCCACCAGCAACGCGGTCAGGGACCGCCCGACCGCGTCGCAGTGGCCTGCGTTGGAGAATATGGGCCCCAAAAGCTGGAAAGCGAGGACGGTGCCGGTCGGTAGACGGTTGGCCAAGTGGGCCACACTCTGGAACGTCTGGCTGATGGCTCTCTGCACGAGGCTCTTCTCATCCGCTTCATGCGGCTCCAGAAGAGGGGCATTCTCGTCCACGACAATGCCGTGGGACGACGAATCCCCGTTTTCAACACGAATCTCCATCAACCTTTGCTCCTACAAATTAAGAATTCTTGCTATGGCTTTGCTTTTGCTTTTGTTTGTCACAAATAAGTGACAAATATTTTTGCTACTTTTTGAACCTCTAATATAGTTCATAAATGTCTTTGTAGTTGATGACGAATTATAAGGGTATGGATATTCTATATTGAGTGCGGGAAAAGGGAGGTATTTAGGCGTTGCAATGCCTTGCAAGAAACAATATATTCCATCAGGGTTTTGGCCCCTTTAGGTACAAAAAAAAAATACTTCCTCCCTCTCATAAATTTTTTCTTGTTTTTGATTTTTTAGTAAAATAGTGATACCCTTTGACTATGAATTGAAAAAAAGTATTTAATAGTGATGTAAATTCAATGTAAATGGGTTAATGTTAGGATATACTCTGTAGTTTTGACATGTCAAATTTTTTTAACATTTATTTATTTAAATTATAATTAATTCGTGGTCAAAGAATGTCATTATTTGATTTTAAAAAAGTCAAAATATGAAGGAGTTTATGGGACAAAAGTAAGAATAAACTACTCCGTAGTAGGAATACTACGCGATATTCTCTTGTCATAGAGTAAAATAGATTTACTCCAGACCCAGAAAATGGTTCTACTTTTTACCTTTAAATAATATTCACCCAAACGAAGTCTATGGATTTTTATATTTAAAATTTAAAAAATACCATCCAAAACAAGAATAAAACCTAGAGAATGTATTAAAATAAGAGTTCTATATTTTTTATTCCAAAATAAGAGTTTGTACTGTGATAATGTGACACTTTATTTAAAAAATTTTACAAATACTTTTTGACATTGTACATGGGCGTGGATATGATTATATTGTAAATTCATTTTAATTCCTATTTTGAGAATAAAAATATGAGATTTTTTATGGGATTTTAGTGAGTATGTTATTGGTGTATCAAAAAAAAATATTTAAAGCATTCCTAAAAAATACAATCAAAGTTTCCAATTAAGGGTAGAATAGAAGTGTAGAGGACAGCAACAACAACGTTGGTAACGTAGCCGCAACTAACGTCGTTGGAAAATTTTGGGGTTATGTTAGTGAAGATGAGGACAAGTGTCTTTTAATTATTTTTTGGCCCAACATCCTAAGCTTGCTTGGAAGGCATCCATTCATGTCCTAATGCAATAGAAACAATTGTTAAACATGGAGTAGTAATTACTTTAGAGATTAAGGCTAATAATCTTGTGTTCTTAGGATTATGTTAACCTTTTTTTATGATATTTGCTGAAGTTTAATCATGTTCTGAATTTGACATCTTCGGATATCACATTTCACATGGGCTTCACCTAGATAGATTTTCGTAGACTCCAGTCTTGCGTTGTATTTATTTCACGTTATGAGTAGACTCAATTAGCGATTTTGTCCAAACCATATTTTTTCCCTTACTTATTGATCATTCTACAAAATAATATAATCATGTCACCTTTTTTTTATAAATCTTTTAATATCGTTTTTAAATATATAAATTTTATTTTTTATTTCTACGCCAGTTTTGATAGAAATTGAATTGAATGAAATTTCAATAAAATATCATGAACCGTAAAATCAAATTCTTTTTAGGATGGAGGGAGTACTTGGTTTTTCCATATCATTTGATTTTTTACTAAAAAGATAATTTTGAGAATAAGAACGGGAAATTTACCTAAATAATACTCCCTCCGTCCTATAATGATTTTCCCAGAGCACTATTCTAACTTCACGGGAATTTATATTTATTTGTGTTTTATCATGGACTATATGATAAAATAAAATATTCTTGTCACCACTTGTTTTGTTAAACTTTTGATGTAGTTTTTAAATATGTATGTTTTATTTTTTATTTCTATACCAATATTAAAATAAAATAGATTGAAAAAACTTGGGATTTTTTTTCGTTTTGCGAACCAGGAAGATCATTATAGGACGGAGGGAGTACTAAAACATAGTAACTTTTCTCAATGTAGTCCCAAATGTTTTTATTTCTCAGTGTAGTACACTGGTCATTATTCAAGTAAATGTCCACCACCATTGGACTATTGATTTGAATTTTAAATCAAATCAGAATTAATCAGATCAGATCCAATCAGATCAGATCATATCAGATCCAATCATATCAGACCAAATCAGATTAGATCAGATCCAATCAGATCAGATCAGAGCTACAAAAAATCAGATCAGATCAGAAAAAATAAGTTGAGCGGAACAGAGACTATATAGCATTAAAACTTAAGTCATTTCCCTAAATATTACTTAAATTGTTTTATTCCTTAAATAGCACTTCATAATGTCCATAATGTCTAGTGATGACCAATATTTACTTGAATAATGACTAATGAAAAATGACTAAAAGTGCTAGATCAGGAAAAAAACACATTTGATGCTATTTAGAAAAAGTCATTATGTTTTAGTGCTATTTAGATAAATT